GGAATTACTAGCAAATTTAGTTGTTAAAGCATCAGCTACATCATTTTGATCAATTATTGTGGATACGCGTGTTACCAAGGTAGTAATAGGGAACTGTATATAATATTTCTTGATTTTTTGCATTCTTGATTAGACAAGCTTTGGGTCAGCTTTAATATTTATATTCGACACATAATCAATCCAAGCTTTTCTTCTATTTTCTTTTATTATTCTACGGAAAATAGCTCGCATTTTCTTGAAATTAGTTCTTTCTTCCGTCGAAGCATATACTTCATGTACAGGGTGGACCACAAAGCGTGATCAGCTTAGATTATTCTGTTGCTAGCGGTTTGATTAGACATTTTTGTAGCTAAAATAACATGGTCTAAGGAGAGCTTTAAAATGATTCTACTATATTTTTTGTCAACCCATTTGTCTCCAGAGTTATCAAGGTCACTTTCAGTTTTTTACAGGTAAATCTACAATTTTTTTATACCCATCTTTTGGAGGATACTGAGACGAATTTGACGAGCATCACAATAAATATTTTTTTCTCAATCCAAAAAGGCTGAAGAAAACTCTTAGTTGGAAGAGTTTTGCAAAATTCTTAATGATTATGAAAGAGAAATAGCAAGGCACACTGTTGTACACTTTCTGGAGCTGTTGATAGATTAGTATTAGTCATTGACTTGATGCCTTGTGTGCTGTTTGTAAACATTTCGTTCAGCAGTTTGGAACACATTTCATAATATCGTACATGAATTGTTAGTAGTGTTGTTAGTAGTGTTGTTAGTAGTGTTGTTGACAAAAAGTTTGGTAAAATCATCTTAAAGCTCTCCTTGAACCATGTTATTTTAGCCAAAAATATATTCAGTCGAACGGCTAGTAGCAAAATAATGTAAACTGATTACACTTCGTGGTCCAGCCTGTATACTGAGAGCATGTCGGAACGCTTTCCTAGCAGAGCTACATTGTTCATTCCATCAAGGGACTTTCCTTTTCTGAAACTTATTAAATTTGTTAGGAGCAGCTATATCAGTAGATTCGGAAATTAATTGAATAACGATTTGTAAATTTAACGTTCGTTTATATCTTTATCCTTATGCAGAGAGATGGATCTTGATATTCTGATATTAATATCCTCTCTATAAAGTTCTTAACTCATCTTATCGATAATCCATTTAACTTTATCGGTAGCTGAAATATTAAGATTCGGGTAAAGAATATCAGTATTACGAAAACTTAGATCGATAGCAGTGAAAGAGTTGTTTGCTAGATTATAGTAAGTATAATCCTTCAAATTAAGAAAAGCTACAACATCTAATTCTAATATGTTTTAATGGTTTTTACTCTCGAGTAAAGCAAGCTGGATCTCCATAAAGGGTTACGTTGAAGTCTTTATGTATTATAAAAGGTTTAGGGATTAGTTTGATGAAATTATAAGTAATTCGTCCCTAGAAAAATCTTAGGAAGCAATTCTTATTAGCAAATAAATGTTAACAATGTGCATCTTCCTGGGGATGAAAGCTTTGATGATTACCTACAATTTCAGAATTGGTATTGACTTGGATTTTTTCACAATAAAGTTTGCCTGACAAAATTGCATATGTCCTCATTGCCATGGCAACAGTGGGATCTACTTTTGTTGAACTGTTTGAAGTTTCATAATTTGATCCTTCTATTATCTTTAAAATTAATCCCTTGAATGCATAACACTAAACAGTTGAAGTCATTCATTAATATTTTAATTGATTCAAATCGAATAGAGAATCCATTTACGTTCCGCTAGATAACAATGTTAATGCTATTGTACTTCTCCATTATTCTTTAATGTCACATCTAATTCAACTTCTGAATTATTTTCACTACGGTGGTTAACTCGACGCAGCTTTTTTAATTACTCTAAATACATGGTTTTTTATATAAGGCTTCCTGCAAGATTAGGATAAATCAATTTTAAGATTTCAATACTATTCTCACAGTTATTCGTGCACTTTTTCATTATTTCGGCCTTCACTGTTTCACTTTGGAGGATCCAACAGTTCTTTCTAAGAATCTACGTAGTTGTACATAATCTAGCTCAAAAGATTAGAATTATTTTGCATTATGGAAAAAATTAGGCTAGGTTTAACTGTTTTCAATTATCAGTGTCTTCCCCGTGTTTCTTTTTATTTGCTTTTAAGGTTTTTTTGACTTTGTTTGACTCTACGAACTCGCTGCCTATATTTTCTCTATATAGTTTTATTTGGTATTGAAATGAGGGCATCGGAAGAATTGGAAGATTGAAGAAGGCTTCTTCTTAAACCTGCCTTGTCGATTGAAGGTGGCAATGACGGAGCGTTTGTAGCGGGAACAGAAAGTTGGGAGCTGCTCGTGTCGGATGTACATTTTTCAAGAAGTGTGGTGGGTTCAGGATCTGAATTGACCAAGGAGCAGCGCTTAGCAGTGTGGTTTTCTTGCTTACAGAGAAAACAAATAAGATTTCTCGAAGATATACAGATTCAATATTGTGATTCTTCGAACTCTATTTCCATAGATTCTGAAAGTTTGACGCTGTCTTCTGGATTTATATATGCTTGCCTACGAACATTGATGATATGAGTTTGACCCTGTTTATTTAAGCCAAGTTTTGAGGAAGACATAACAGACTGATATTTTATTCATAGGTGTTAAATATTGTCGGCAATTTTCTCATTCGGAATAGTTAGTGAAATATTTAATAAAATTATTCTTTTCATTATAGAAATTGATGGTCTGATTTCTCATTTAGTACTATTTATTTTTATTACTAAGTAGTTTTTGATTAACTCATCTGCCAACAATTTTGAAGATAAGTACAGATAAGTTTACATGGCATGTTGTTTGATACTCCGCAGATAAACCCAATATTGACAGAATTGATTACTTTGTTAAGAACATTTATATTTTTTTCGACAGGAATTCCTTCTTTAGTATCTAAGATGACAGCTTAGTCCTTTTCTGGCAATACAATATTCTGTGCTACCTTAGCATGATTGTTGGGTACCATTGTGTTAGCAGCATTAGCTGTTTTAGATTCCACTGTGATGATAATTAATTAGAAAAGTAATACCGTGCAATCGTACAGATTACTTACTACGTCCCAGAAGGTTGCATGTTGACACAGATAACTGTTTGAAATAGTAAGGTCTGGCCATGTACATTGTATATAAACACTCGCAGCACGCTAGAAACATGTCCACACCTTACGCTATCTCAATTGGGACTCCCTTAAAAGAAGAGGTATTGAACCCAGATATTCAAAACATTATGAAACTTTGTGTGTAAGTAGAGTAAGTCAAGCCTAATACATTGTAATTTTTTTCGTGCCGAATTTCACCTTGTAGGGGTGAAACCACCTCTTGAAAAAAATGCAAATTTTTCTTTCGCGTAAATTATCTTGAGAATACATTATTCTTTCATATTTATAAAACTGCGCAATAAAGTTTTCAAACCAATAATTTTCAAAATCAAAATTTTGAAAAATTTTATTTCGCAATTTTATAAACGTAAAAGAGCAATGTATTTTTTGTTTAAACTTTTTCCCGCTATTTGTTATCGTTTTCTAGATAATCCATGAGATAGAAAAATTTGCATTCTTTCAAGGAGTGGATTCACCCTTCCAAAATGAAATTCGGCATAAAAATTGCAATGTATTAGGCTTGATTTGCTCTTCTTACACACAAAATTTCATAATTTTTTAAAATTCTGTGTTTGATACCTTTCCTTATTAATCAGAAATAATTCTGATAATTTATAGGATAATTTAATTTAACCAATCACTTTGAAATTCATTCGTTCAGTACTACTAGAAAGTAATCCTCTTAGAAATATTGAAACAATCAGTTGATAAGCTTGTATTTGCCGTGCTCCTTCCAAGTACTGAATACCGAATATAGGTAGAAGTATATTTTGACAGATGTATGTAGGTACTGTGAAGATAAAAGGCGCTGCAGCAGTACATTGTCCCTGGGCGAAGCACAATGTAATACATTTTAAGGTAGAAATACTCGAACGAGTTGTTTCTGCTCCTTTTTCACAGATGTTATCATTGTGTTTTTCTTTCTCGGCGATTAATCTTCAATGCCAGGGAAACAGTTACCTCTAATATTCGATTGTTTTCGTATTGAATCGTGCTGGATAAATTTTCATTGTAAAGATTTCAATAATCAGTAAAGTATTGATATAATACAGATTATTTGATACGTGTAATACATACGAATTAATCAGTTTTGTTGATGAATGTTCAATGCTTTTTAAGGTTTCATAGCTGTATACAGGTTACGGAACGTTACTGGAACCACTTTGATGACTCCACAGGTAGTCACTTTAGTGAAAAATGTTTCAAATAAAAGTTTAGAAGCTTTAAAGGGGACATAATTTGGTGTAATTGATTTTTCAAAAGGAGAACGTGTTAGGTGAAGGTCAAGTAAATTTCTTAAATTTGAGTCATGTATTTTTTATTGTATAATTAGATTGATTTCTTCAATGTTTATAAAAAGCTATTAACCTGTTCACAGTAAACAATCATTGGTTTAGGGCGAATTCCTAAACCTGAAATTTGAGATCTAGTCTTTATTCATTGTGTACTATCGGTAAATATAAAAAATGTTTTACAAAAATGATTCCCTGAAGTAAAATTTAGCTCTTTAATCAGTCAAACGTAAAAATAAATACTAATGTATTGGTAATGGACTATTTTTCATATATATTTCATACGACAGAATTGGGTTAACTGTACTTATACAGGCAGTGCTTACATAAACCTAAACTAAAATGTTTTGATAGGAATACGTAAGGAAATCATTAATAAAAATTGCCTCCGAGGAAAATTCCGTTGACCAATGATCGGCAAACAAATAATTGATAACTCTGGTAACCCCGCTTTTGTTGCCACAAGTTCTATTACTTACATCTGTCTTTCGAATGTTCTGTCGAATTACACGCAACACCCGAGAAGGGCATTAATGCTTCCACTCAAGTTTGTTTTACGGTACTTTCAGCAAGAAACGACACGGGGCAAAGATGGGAATGATCGAAAGCAGAAAATTGCGAAATATCGAGAATGATTGATTGTTTTCGTTCGGTATTCTGCCGGCAGCCGTGAAAGGACGAAGAGGGCGGAAGGGATGAAGAAGACGAAGAAGAAACGGTAGGGTGTATTATTATTCAATCTGTTCAAGATCGTCAAGGATAATGCCTCGTGGATAAATACATCTAAAATTATAATGGCCACCTTCTCCCAAGGGGATAGGAGCGCGAACGATTCATGATACCCCGTTGTCAAGAGACTGAAGTTAATTGCAATATCATTATGAAAATCGCCGACGCGTAACGTTTGCCCTATATTCGTTCGACACGAAAACCTCGCGCAGTGCCTACACAATATTGGACCGAGTTAATGTAAGGAAGATGAATGTGTGCCTTTACGAATAACATTTCTTTACAATCGATTTTACCATTAAAGTAATCAGGTCTTTGGTCGAGACCCAGATGTTACGGATATTCATGTGCCTTTTGGGAATAAGTAGCAGCTAGCACTTTAATCAATTTTTTTTCTGAACAAAATGCCAGATTAATTTTTCTAGAAGGTGTTTCGGAATTACTAGACCTGATGGAAAGTACTCCGATAGAATGGAAAATTAATCGTTATTAAATTAGAAGGTTTTATTACGAATTTTTATACTTTATTCATAATTTAATCATAGAATGAAATTCATAGGAATTCATAGAACTATTTTATATTGAAAGTTTCTTCTTTGTACATGAAAAGTAGAAACAGTTTTTAAAAACTGAACAAGAATTTGAATCAGATGTACATTATTCTTGTTTACTATATCCTTCATGTTAGTGAAATTAATGTTTCTAACATGCTACGCTGTGTTAAAATAAATTATCGTATTTATCTTATGATTTTTTGTTTAATCTATAGAAATAATAACATGTAATCGTTGATACACTGAACAACGTTACTCATCATATGTTTTAGAATAGAAACGTTTAAAACAAAAATAGTTTATATTACCATTTAATAATTTAACTTTATTATCTATATCACATAGGACATTTAACGGTTTTTAAACTAAAATAAGTTTCTCCCATAGTAATCAATATATTAAATTATTTATTTGTCAAAGTATCGTGGTATTCCGTATTCAGTACTGTTATTTTTTATAATAATTTTATTATTATTTTTTAAGTATTTATCGTTATCTTATAACATTGAAGGTAACGAGAGTGAACAAAAATTTCATTAAACATTGCTTTTATCTGTGTATTAATAATATTATTATTTGATTGCAGCTCCAAAACTGTAAATAGATTCAACTTCATAGAAGTTCGGATTATTTCAAAGTAATGGACGATAGTTCAATGTATTGGGCCATGAATAAATGAAACACTGAGAGTCTGAGAGTCAATGTTTCACTATACGTTCTGTTATCCGAAATATATACTCATTATCCATTAAAGAATTATAATGTATTGTGTAAGTGTGCAAATTCTGTAGTCTTCCTTCTATTTTTTTCCAAAGCCTACTTAGAATAGTAGAATATGAAATTAAACAGTTTGCATTAACTGTAATATAAAATAATATGTAGAATATTATACCTCAATATTCAATAAGTAAATGTAACATATAAGTAATTTCGAAAAATTTACAACTTAGAAAAGAAGGCATAGACTAAGATAGTTTGAAGCTGGAAAGGAATGTAGCACATAGTAACTCATAGTACCGTAAAAATTGTATGATTTATTTATTAATATATTTATAATGTCATTTGTTATATATTTATAAATTATAAAAAGAAATAGAATTGAAGACAATTGATTTGTCTTGGTTTCGTATTCCATTTATAAAATTACATATAAAGTAATACTTATTTCCTTCCAAGTTGACTTAAATATTGCATATAAAATTCAGTAATAAACATACTGTGTTCTATAAAATCCTCTTTTGCAAACACTTATAATTCATTCAATCCTAATCACGAATTATTCTGATTCTTGACATAGTTGTAAAAACCAAGATGATATTATAACGGCCAGTGAGTGAAAAAAATTCTGGTATACAGCTTTTTTCCTACAGCGTCAGACAACTTGGAAGGTTTAGCGAGACACTCGGGGGTAGTGAGAGTTATCTTGCTTCCCCTTTTATTGGTAGCAACCAGCTGTTGTCTGGCGGTCGAAAAAAAAGAAATATAGTTTCAAATGACCGAGAGAACACGACACAAACACTTACGGTAGATTACCCAACAGTAAACAGATCTTTGAGAAAAAAGGATAACAATTTTATTCCCCTTTATTAGTAAAATAATTTGTCTATATGTGTAGTCTAATAATAATGTTGTTGATTAAATGACCATTTATATTAAAACAGCTTGTCTGGCTTTATTGAATATGACTTTTGCACGGACTCTAAATCAAATTTGGCAAAAAGTAACCTCCGCTCTCCATAAAGTCTCACCTGGTGTGCGCGCGATGGAGCATGGTCACGCGACAATGGAGCGAGGCAAGCTAAGGCGCATGTGCGTGTAAATAGGTTCCTATATGTGTACATGGGCTTGATTGTTATTCTTCTCTCTTTCTCTCGGCCATCGTATTTTTTGTTAGAAGTCTGTCCACTATTCATTGTAAGTGGGACTACAGATCAACGAGTATTCTATCAAGGAATTCGTTCGTTGTTTATCACGAAAATTATTATTTACTTATAAGCACTAAAAAGCCAGTAGTTCTATTACGAAATACTTTCTTGTTGAGCACATTTGTGTCTTTCCTAACCGTCATCTCTTTACATTTTTCAACGGACGTTCCGTCGTTAATAATTAATGACACTGGAACATTTGTCCGCAGTCAGTTCGCGAAGTAGATCCGAGGTTAGTACGTGCCGGGTTCTACCGCTGACTGGCGGCATAATACCACCATAAATCTTAACTGTTAGGGGACACTCGAAAACTCAACGCAGTCAGAGTTTCCTTTCACTGTAATTTTAATTAAGATATTCGCATGTATATCACCTAGATGGAGACCTTTTCACCATCACTGACGACGGAGGATCTCACCAATTGGGAAGAAAAAAATTGAGCTTAATCCGAGAGGACTTGAACTCAAGAAAGTTGCGGTACTATACAACAATCTACTCCACACCTCCATTGCGACTGAAAACTTCAGATTATAATCATGGTATGTAGTTAAAGTTCGTAAATTCAAATGTCTGTATCTTCGAAATTCCTGACTATCTACACTTAATAGTTCACACATAAGATTAAATACGTGTATACTATTATCCTACAAAAAATCATTAAAATCCGAGGGGGACAATTGGGATCCTTCCCTTGTCAGACTGGGAAAAACGTCGCATCCCACCTCCTCCGGGGTGGAATGGAACGGTCAGAATTCGGTCGTCAATCGTTCGACGCAGTCCATCATTTGACAATCGCTCAAAAAAAGAGAAGATATCCAGTAGTAATTTATCTCGATCATTCGTTAAACATCGTCTTTCAATCATTCGTAAACTTTCATTCCACAATCTTCCGCTACCATTCGTATCATATGAACATTTAAAAACATTTTTACACTCAGGTAAATCATTACAAATAAGATTAGACTTGCAAAATTATAGGTGTAATAATTCTCTCTATTGTATAATTTGTTGTATAACTATCGTACATTTGGTAAGTCTTATTAAGGAATCAGTATAAATGTCGTATGTAGATGCTTTTTGATCGGAAAAGGTATGTACGTTCGATAATTTCAATTGTATTAAATTTGTATGTTTTGATTATTGTGAGTGGAGGTCATCAGAAAGCTATCTGTGTAATTTCCAAGGTACACTTCGTGACAAAACTATAAGACAGGCTATTTTTCTTATAAAAAACGAAACACAAATCTTGTTATTCTTTTATTAATAATGCGTGCTAGCATCTTTGTTTGCAACCTCTAACATTCTTTTGGGAAGAAGATTTATATAGTTTTTTTTATCGTCCTCTATTTCCCTTGCATACATGCCTTTAGGTCTTCATTGTTACTGAACTGCTGATATTTCGTATATATATCCCTGGCGAGTATGCCACAACAATTCCCGATAATATTTAAGTCGGGAGATCTAGCAGGTCATGGTAAAATTTCTATTTTCTTTTTTTCTAAATACCGGTTAACTATATGAGCATTATGCACGGCTGCATTATTTTGTTGGAAAATCTATTTTTCTGTTGCTATTTGATTGCCATAATGGTCATATCGTCAGCTGGTCGTCGATGATTTTCACATAACCATGGCTATTTATTTTATAGTTAATACATTTTAATTCGATCTTTTCATAATAACCTATTGCCGCCAATACCATAATTCCATTGTCACTCTTTTGCCTCCTTTGCAACATTATCTCTTCCTTTCGCAAGTCGAGAAAATAGTACTATAGGCCACCGGGCCCGTCCAAATTGAAACGTTTTTCATTGAAAAAGATCAGTTCTTTCCATTGTTTCCGCCAATACACACGGTGCTCTGCGAACTTGAATCTCGCTTGTTTATGCTAGCTGGCCAAGGACGGTTTCTTCATTGGTTTAAGCTGTTTAATATGTCCTGCCTTCTGTTTGATTCTTTGAACATAGCGGATGTTGAGATTTATTCCTGCTTTAGTTGCAATTTGACATGCTGTGAGAGTACGATTCGTGTCGTAAAATGGTACACCTATTCCACGACGTTGTTGCTTTTGGACGATCTCCAGCGTATTTCTCAATTAATTTGTTTTGCTCTTTAAATAGTTGAATAATGCATAACGACTTCTTTCAATTAGTTGCGTTATTTTTATGATTGAATCATTTTTGTTTCTTAAATTATCAGTGAACTTAATTTCATTTTGAGAAATATACAAAATATTGCAGCAGATAGCAATTGAATACCAAACAAGAGAGCTGACACACAAATTTCGATGGAAATTGACAGTTTCACTACAAAACAGAGACTGTCTTATAATTTTGTCGCACATCATCAGAGGTATTTTTATAATCGTACTTGTATTCGGAGATATTATAGAGCTCAATATTTCGCAGAAAAACATTTCTTGAGGTAAATTATAAGGGTAAGGATACACATGATTTTGTTGGGTGTCTTGTAATTTTGCCACAGAATGTAGAATAATTATGTAGAATTGCTTGGTTTGATCGTTAGGATGATTGTTTAGTCTGGTTTTATGTTTGTTACTTTAACGTATACATTCCGCCCTCAATTCACGTGGCACATTTTTACGCGAGTCTCTTCTTTACGTAGCAAATTAGAACATTATTTATGTCATAGTTTTTACGCTCAATCTTAATTTATACGATCTGAACTTAGTAACACCGTATGTACTTTCGTTTCATAAGATATCATTATTAATATTTCTTTTGTTTGGCTATGTGAAATAAATGTGTATTTCTAAACCTTATATCAGCGTTTCTTTCCAATATTTTATTTTCTCTTGTACCGACGGACTCTATTTACCCGATTTTCAGTCGCGTAAAACGAATCCACGTGGAACGGACTTTCACGTAAATCGAGGGTCATGTGTAACTTTCTCAGTGACTGAATTAATGTTTAGATCTCTACGAAGTTCATCATTTCGCACGTACCACAGTCTGTTTATTAGGATCCCGAGGTTCCTTATCATTATTTAACTGTGTTGCCTACAATTAATTTAGTGTACAATAAAATCATAGTTCGTGAGCACTCAAGAATATTCATGTTCTGCGATAGATCAAAGTTGATAGTGCTCACGTTTACGTAAATTCCGTTCATTTGTGGATTATCATACTGAGCTCCGTATATAAAACTGCCATTTTCTAGTGTCACTGTGATATACAAGCTCCGACGAGGCAACCTCCCTGCGGTGTTGGCACAGACTAATGCCAATGCGGGTGGCACGTCAGAAGGTGCTTGTAGTTCGATAACGATTTATGCGAATATAACAAGTTTGTAATGTTTTGAAAACATGAGAATACAGTGAACAATGGTTAAACATCGTCATCCTCACTATATCCCTATCAAGTTCCTTTTAACCAGTTAACTGCGTTCGACGTGTGTAGACGTCAATCCAAAGTTCTATTGCGGTGCGGTTGATGTGTATATTCGTCGCGTAAAATGAAAAATTATCATTTACTATAAAAACAATAAATTTTAATAAGATGTAATAAAACTGTCATTTGGTGGTATGTGTCCTTTATACTATTAATAAAACTGCTGTGTACTTTTTTAAACAAATTTGATTATTCTCTTTGGTACATGGGATATTGACCGTACAATATATAACTTTTTACAAAATAAGTTGATTGCTTTCTCCAATGTATCTGGTATTCTCCGAATTGAACCTTGCTTTAAAAAATACCACACGAAAATCAATTGAATTTTTAAAATTGTGTTTTCTTCAATTTTTCTTGTTTGTGAATTTTATTATTTTTTCACCATTTTTGAGTTTTTAATAACAGTAACGTTTTCAACATTGACTGTTAATTTTTTACCGAATAAAAATTTAATCTTTTTTCATTTTCTTTCA